ATACGTTTAATAGTTTTACTCTTGTTAATTTCTCTGAATATGTTCACCGGAAGGGAGAATGTTCCGTATTTTAAAAGGGACGGCCAACGATATGCTTCACTTTTTTAAAGAATTTTTTGAAGAACGAGGGGATGTTCGGCTTCGGACAGGGCTTGCTAGTCAATCGTGAACTGGAGGCTTGTGGTCGGCTTATCGTGCCATTTTCATTCAAAAAGGACATTTTTCAATATAATTCCAATATTTTTTCCAAATGATTCAGGGCATTTTTCATTTTAATCCGGACATTTTTCATGCATTAGGACCCTTTTCAAACTACCGAGGACTTTCTCATATTAGACAGGAACTCTAGAAAAGTCAAAAGCTTTCTTCAAATAGCATGTATCGAATTAATAATTGATGCGCCGGGTTCTAATTTTTCATCAGTGAAGCGCATGCGAAGAAAATATTTGGAAAACTACCTTCACTTTACATACACTCCTCTTTCTCAATGTTTGCATAGTTGCCTGTTCGCTTTATTCAGCCTTAGCATTTTGATTTGATTTTGTAATGAACAAAAAAATAAGCTGAATTTCTAATTTTTTTAGAAATAGGTTGATATTTTGGCTAAGTGGTGGGTGGAATGATGTAAGCGTATGTGCTAACGCCTTCCACGCGCTTGATGCCTGTGGTCAAGTGCAAAATGTCACCCAGGCTACCAGACCCTTCATCTCTTCAGCCCTCCGGTTTTGGTTAATTGGTGTCAGACCTGTCTGACGATGAGTAAAAAAAAACAGTGATTGGTATATGCGCTCCTCCCTGCAAATTGATGTCGAATCGCATCAAATATCTACACAATTCTGAATGAAGTGAAATGTTTGCCACATATTAAAAAGGTATCGATCTTCGGAAAAACAAAACAAGATCTTCACAATCTTCATGCTTTTATTATAAGAAGATCAGGCACTCTTATAGTTTTTTCCCATCACTTTGCGTCCCATCATTCCGCATTTCTGCGTCTGTTGCACCTCTAGTTATGAAATGCGGAACTCCTTTTTCTGCGTTCAAAAGGCACCGCAATCTTCCTTTGAATCTTTTACATTTATTCATTTTTCTCTGTTCTCTTATTTGGAGGTGCCATCGTCAGATTATTAAACACGGTGGAATCTGAGGAGTTCTGCGCTGTTTTTCTACTGCCTCATTAAGATGATACATTATTGCTTTTGAAAGCTCATTGGCGCGTTGACCATAGCGTCCGTCGTAGGTTTTTTCACCGCGTGGAGACCGGAGCGATCTTGCAATTGCGGTCGTTCATCTCACCTTCACATCTGTGGCTCCGAGCTGTAAATACGCAAAGCATTAGAAGGCGGCACAATGTTTTCTGTAATCGTTTTCGGATAAAGACATCGGCGAAGTTATTACGAAAGGTCGGTCAGATTACGTGTTATGGGAACGAGCAGGCAATGTTTAGTTGCTTTTGGTGTAGTGGACCTCAAAAGAATTTTCGACGCGGTTGCTCCAGAAACAAATATTTTGTCATAGGTAGAAGTCTGGTAATCGCTACTGTTCGTTTCATAAAGGTGTGTGAAATTACAGGAAACGAGGCAGATATAGGCCCATACCAGTAAACAAAGGGCGGAAGTGGCCCCGATGTAGTGACAAGATGAGCGCAGTTAACATCGAGCGGAGCACGGTCCGGGGCGAATCAAATCCTGGGGTCGTGGGCTCGACCCGGGCCAACCAAGCCTTCCATCCCTCCGGGGCTTGGTTTTAATATACGACTACATGAACATCGGCTGGCCCCCGCAAGTCATTGTATAGGCCACATCGCATTCAAATGCCACTGCGAATGTACAAATGGAAGTAGAATGCGTGCCGCATCCCAAAAAGGGATTGATCAACGGCAAATGCTTTATCCTTTTATGCTTCGACCCATACTGCCAAGTTCGTAGGGCTTGGAGGACCTTTGCTTAATTAACCCTTTCCTGGACCGCGCACTTTTTGCGCTCACGGCCGCATGCTGCGCGGCAAGCATAAATATCATATATTTAATCTGTATTCCCACTAAAGCCATTATTTTGTCTCGTTTGTGTCATTTGTCATGTATAAAAGTGTATATGAGGTTAATATATCAAATGCTTGGGAAAAATCAGCTGTTGAAGTTCCTCACACCCCATGGGTGTCAGGCGATCCGGGAAGGGTTAAAGCATATTTGACCATTTTGTAAACCTCGCCGTTTTTAGCCATGTTGTAGTGGGATCTACCTAATAAATACAAAAAATATGAAAGAAGTAATGTATGCACGAATACAAATGACATGGATGTGGGGCGCGTGCTGTCGTCACCGTGCAACCTACTCTCGAATTTATATTGTGATACTATAATATGTGATATGAAGCGTTCAACTTTACATTCAAGATTGTTGAGGTTTAAGTTATATTCAGATTAGGCTTCGTAGATCATTTGTGAGAATGAGGCCTTCAAGTCGTTGCTGTTTTCCTCCGATTCAAAAGTCTGCCTGTATATCCAGCTTTATTACGTACGTAGCGTGCGGCGCGTACCTTTTTTTCCTTGACAAAAAAATCAGAAACAAAATGGAACACTGGTGTTTTTCAGCAAACTATCTTTTGGTGACGTTATGACTTTTCGACTAATCTCATCCTTTTTCCTTATTCCTCATCACTCTCTCCTTCCTATTTCTCGCAATTTTTTTCTTGTGACGTCTGAAATCATTCATTGATGGCTTTCACTTTTTAATGGGGAATGATATTGTCTGGTTTATGAATAAAAAATAGTTGATTGTGTCTAATTTCTGCTTCAATTGCTAGTTAAGAAATTCTGAAATGAGTGAGGAGCGTTCGATATGGCATGATACATTACTGCAGATATTTTATAGTTTCGATAAGACATTTCTGCGCTTGGTTCTGGTTTCATTTGATAAAAAACTGGTTGCTGCCGTTGTCAGCGGTACTGCAATCGAAGGGAATCTATGGCATTGAAACGAAAGTTCAATGAGAATGTCAAATATGCTTGGGATTTTTAGCGAGTTGCGCTGGTTCACGTTTGATTACCTCAGACAGGTTCTGTATTCAATTATTTGCAGGAGCCTTTGTCTCGGAGTTGGGATGCTCAAGGAATGCACTACCCTCCTCCACAGCAATGGGCTCAACATCCCGGTTACGGACAACAACAACAACAGCAGGTATGTCGCGTTCGGTGTTTGAATGGGTATAGGTATTCTTTTGTTTTATGGAGCTTTGCAAATTTGGTAGAAGCTTTTATCAAAAAGTTTTCATTTCTCTGTGCACGTGGAGTTATTTTTACTTTGTGTAAGAATAGAGTTTTGTTGCGTATTACTTATGCATGCTTGGGTCATGAGTAGATTTTTCAGATGCCAGCGCATCACGGGCAACAGCAGCAACAAGGACAACAGCCACCTTCGAGTGGGCAATCGACTGTGCTAGAAGCGCTCATCAATCAGCCACAATATCCGTCGGCTCCTCATCAGGCATGGTTTCGTGTCATTCGTTGAGGATTATATTTGCTTAGCTAATATCAATGTTATTCATAGTATTTCTATTTGTAGAGTATGTTGCTATGCAATGCCACTAAGCATCTCTCTGTATTACACAAGCACCATTTTTGGATCCTATGCTCTACTGTTTGCTCGTGATTTATTATTGAGCAGAAATGCTGGCGCTATCGCAGTATACGGGGCATTGTGTTGGCAGTGCATAAACGGGGTAAAACGTCTCTTTGTTGAAAACGGGACTAAGCTTTAGGCGGGGCTAGGGAGACTCCAAGAAGCTTTAGCCGTTGTCATTTTTCCCAGAGCACCTGCCTCTCCTGGACTTAGTTCTGGAGGATTCCTGGTACATTGCGATAGCGCCGAAATATTTTCCTTGATTACAAGAATTCGTGAAAGCTAACCGATCGAAGAATATCGTGATTTTCTCTGCGGTAGCAAGTACCTTCCAGATCCCAGAATGTACATTGATTTGCTGCTCATCACCCGCCAAGCTGGTCTGTCCTCAGTACAATCTGGATACGGCTTGCGGTAATTAGCGCTGATCTGGATGCGTTTTGGTAACGGGTGATGAGCTAATCCTTGGACGTATCTTCGATTGTGTGCGGAACGTTTTGCAGTTACGTTGACCATAACCAGAACCTAAAAAGTGTGATCCCAGAATTGAGTGGGCTGGGCAGTGGTGGCTAGAGTGATCCGCTATGGACTCTTTGACCTTGAAAAATGTTTTACTATTACGTTTCCAGCTTGAAAGGCAGCATTTGAAGTAATTAGACCTCAATGTTTTGGCTGTTGCAATAAGGGCTCTTATCCAGTGCATGTTTTACTCTCATTCTAAATTGTCCGGGGCTCCTCCAAGGACTGAACGCCATCACTGCACCTCTCAGTTGTCGCCCATGCTTGCTAATGTTCCCGCGACTACGCTAGCCTTCAGTACAGTATTATCTTCTTCAGAAACTCAATTTTTTAGCTACACAAATGAATCGTCGTTGTTTAGGTGAGTCGTCATCCTCAAATGATGATGAGTGGTCCAAATCCGCAAATGGGAGCTGCAGGACATGTGGCTGGATCCATGGAATCACAACATGACCAGCAACAGGTCTACAATCAAAAACTGCGGATGTTAAGACCGTACTGCGAGAATCTCAAGTGAGAATTTTCATGGCTTATGTGGAAGACTTAATATTTGCGATATTGTATTGGAGCAATATGTAATCCGTATTTGGATATCGATTGGTGTTTTACACTTAGTGGTACTGCATGAAACTGCATCGGTTTTCAAGCGCAATGTTTGCTATCGCATTCGTCGCAGCCACGCAGACGGTGGTTATCGCACTTGTCGACAAAAACATGTAGGCACTGTACGCTTGACAGCGAAATGAGCTTGGCCGATATAATCAGGGGCTAATAATGGAGCTCAAGTTCATTACTTTACCGCTACCTATTCAGCTGTGGCTTTTTCAGATTGCGGGCTCAACAGTGCCGCATGGAGGGCAATATGGAGGCCGCCCAGAAACTCGAGACAATGCTCGGCGTGTTGGAAGGCAGGCGTGTCGTCAGCCTAGAGTACCTATTGAATCTCGAGAATTGGATTCATAAAAAAGCTGACTTCTTGGTTGGTTTTCTGAAAATTCGGCTCCATTCTGACTTAAAAAGGGTGCTTAAGAACTATAGACGTTTTCAGGCGGCAACCACGCATAATCCTCATGCGGCGGCTATGCAGAATGGCCATATGGGTATGGCTGGGCAAGGAATGGTCGACGGGATCAACGCAGTCCTGAATGCGCCTTCTGATCACCATCCGGGCACGATGTACGGCGGTCCGCAAGGAGGCTATCCACCTCCACCAATGCATCAAGGCAACTATCCAGCCATGCATCCGCAACAGATGTGGCCACCTCAACATATGCAGCAAGGTGTGTTCAATGTGCATCAATTATGTTGTTTTAAAATCCGCTTGTTTCTTAATTTTTTGTTGGGCACTATCGCAAGATACGGGGGCATCCTCTAGGACTAAGCCTAGAAGGAGCAGGAACTTCCGTGGAAAATGAAAATTGCTCACGCACCCTGAAGTCTCTCTTCTTCTGCTTAAGGCTTAGTCCCGATTTCAAGAGGAATTGGATGATTTACGCGGTTTTCAAATGCACTGCCACCACTACGCCCCGTATATTGCGATAGCGCCCTTTGTTGTTTTCAAAGCGGTCTGGAAAAAGTGTGATGAATGTCAAAGGATTTTTTTGAGCTGCCACCCCTCACCTAAAGTTGATTGAAATTTCCCTTCATTCAATTTTGCTGGGAAGCGAAGCCCTTCACGCAAGCATTACTTTCACTAGTAGCGCGACAGCTGTTCTTCTGAGCGTGGCCGTCAATAGTAGCGTTCCTTTTCCCTTTCAATCCTTCCACTCGTTTCGCTGCTTGTCGCCGTCACTCTCCGAGAAAGTTGATGTCAAAAGGGAGATGTGCGAATTGTTTCAAGAGATACCTTGGCGAGCACGCATATGGTGATAGAGGAAGATCTCTTGATCTTAAGTGGAGGAAATTTCTAACTCAAGGAGTACCCCCTTAACTCGCGACGTTATTTCGTCCATTCTCGAAAGGTCTGGTTAGACTGCCTTTGTATAAAATGGGGCTTGGAGCTTCCCCAAAAGTCGCGTCATTTGGTTTGGGAGAGCCACTTATGCTGCCGGAGCACATCCTCTATGACACTCATCCCATCAGCTTCACTCGCCAGATCGGTTGTTTCGTTAATTAAATATTCGCTTCAACGATTATTGTAAGAAACCTATGGTTAGCGAGAAGTTGTAAACTGCCGGAGAACTCAGTAATTGGAGAATATTATGTTTTATAGAATTTTTTCCTATCAAAATAAAGCAGTTTTCATCATTTAGGGATGATGATGGGACCTCCGATGAATCAATCCGCAGGTGGTGGTCCAATGCAGACATATAGGGAATCTCCAGTTGAGCATCATCGACCATATCCTGCTATGCGACCACAAATGCGACCTCCACCCGTTCTCCAGTCTATGCAACAACAAATGGATCCCTCACGAATGGGAGGCAGTTCCATGGATGCCATGATGAGCACGCCTCCAACGCCAGTAGGACTAGGTAAGTAAAATTAATTTCTTTTCTTCAGAATTTTTGTCATTGAGCTTCAATTCCTTGGTCCTTTACTTTGCTTTGGTACGTTATGGTATATGTTTCAGCTTCAAGCCAAGGTGCAAGAGGACCATTGCCGCTCCCTTCGGGTCCTGCGACGTCAACTTCAACGACAAATGTTAGTGGATCTGGCGGAGG